TTGGAAAAAATAAGTTGCGCAAATATATTATTTATTTCGTGATTTAAAATGAAAAGTTATATATACATTGTAGCTTGTAATAAAAATTTATTTATATTTCATCTAGCGTAATAATATATTATTGTTAATAAAGAATAGTTCTAGTTAAGTAATTCTAATTTCTAATTGTAGTGCACAAACTACAATTGTCAATAATTTTCACATTAATACTATGCATCCAGATATTTAAAGTTGTAAAAATCTTTTTAATCTCCTTTCTTTCTTGCGCAATTTCGGCGACTCATTATCCACGATCTCACTCAAGTCAAAATCAATAAAAAGTAATGGCAACTCTTTAGTTCATATAGAATATTTTGCTTTGAGATATCATTGTGTAGGATACCACAATTATGTATTGACTTGAGCTGATTGATTATTAATTTTTTTTCCTCTTTAGTGAGTTTTTTCGGATCAATGTGATGGGCGTCCTCAATTAATTGCAATACTAATGCAAAAAGATATCCGTCATAAATGTAACCTTTATAGAACAAACGTGGAACAGCACGACCTAATATCAATATTTCAATAGACAAGTTAATAATATCTAAAAATATTATGAATGAAAAAAATTTGTACCTTGACATTCTTTTAAAATAGAGTAAATATGAGCTTCATGTTTTAGCATTTTCGTCGCTTCTTGCTCTTTATACGCATCACAAGACTTCCATGCCACAGGTTGACCATCATAATAGCCAGAAAAAACCTTTTCAAAGATTCCGCCATCTATGTATTCACCTATTGTAGTGATTCCTTTGGAAGATGATACGATTTCTCTCTTCCTGCTACCGATCTGCTTTGAAGAACTCTTCCTCTTCTTTGAACTATAATTATTGTCAGAAGAATTATCATTATTAGAAGGAACATAATCATCGTCAGGACCACTATCAGGATAATTCTCGTCATCATCATCTTCATTGTCATTATCATCATAGGATGTAAAATTGTCATCCATTACACGATCTAATCTATTGCCGACAATATCATTAATAGCTTGCTGACAGATGTAGAAAACGCACTCGCGTAAAGTCGGATTGGTACTATCAGGATGAATAATACGAGAAACATATAAGTTGTTTGGTTCATTTTCCAGTCGTTTGAGAAAGTATGTATCAGAATAGTTTGTCAAAATGCTGAAATGAAGACCATTGCAAGCCATTTCACCAAACGCTTGAGATAAGATCTTTTTTTCTAAACTTAAAATCTTGATCTGCTATTTGAACCCGGTCAATATGTCGATAAACTTCCCAAAGGTGATAATTACTTACCTCAAATTGTGACGCGTTTTAATCTCCACAGGTATCTTGCCCACTGTGGGATTATTAGTGCATAAAATAAAATCGGGAACACCCAAAATTCCAGTACATCTCGCACTAAAACTTGCTCCTCCTAGTAGTGTTTCAACTGGCCATAAAACATTAGAATAAAAACGAAATTTTGCATCGTCTTCTACACGTAGATCTCCTGCATTAGTTGGAAACACCTGGAATTGTCCTCCTGGAATATGACGGATCGAATTGTTGACACTTCGGTTGAAGTAACACCATTCTCTCACGACATGTGGAAAGCAGGGATAAGCTGGTTCAGTTGTAGCAGTTGAACCTGATGCCTGCCAAGTGCAAACTGAGACGACACGACTTAGTAACTGATTTGCTGTTTCAGTCATTTCTTAGTGTTAATCAAACACAAAATAAAAGACTAATAGAGAAAAAACTATCATTCTTTTATGAAAAATAACCATTAGGTATATAAATAACTTAGATTCGAATTTGATGATGAATATGTGATTAATAAATCATATGTCGTCATGTACTGTACGACATAAAGTTTCACAAGCAATACACTGAGGCATTTGCAATTTTGCTAATAATTTTTTTTCGATATTTCATATAATCATATGAACCGAGTTATAATTGCAAAAGAAGTGACTTCAAAGAGAAAACTAATAACCATTTTTTTTTGGTTGAAGACCTGCAATGTAAAATTTCGGCGGGCTTTACTAAGGTTAATGTTCATTTATTTCTGACATTGCATATCTCGTATAAGCACAACTGACGACCGTTTTTTTCTATCCTAGACATTCGATGATTGGGGCAAATGAAACCGGATGGGTTAGACAAGCGAAAAATCTCTCCAGACATTAATATAGAACTATCATGTAGCAAATCTATGTATTACAACTACAAGTCGAATCATATATTTTATTTCATGTATCAATAAAAGAATTTTTTATTGTGGCGTGGGGTGTGCATC